TTTTTTGTTGTTGCTGCTGCTGTTTTTGTTGCTGCTGACGCTGCTTCTGTTGCTGTTGTTCTTGTTCCTGTAGTTGCCACTGTCGCGCCGGCTCCGACCGCTCTTGGTGCTGCTGTTAGACATCCTGTTTTCTCTTCTCACGACATCCTTCCACCCTTTGTGGTCCTTGTTGGACTTTTCCTCTTCCACTACTACTGTCATTGCTGCTGTTGAGCGAGGCTCAGGGGATGCGTTCCTCTCGGGGCACACCTTAGACACATGTCCCGCGGCGCCACAAGCCTAGCAGTGGGGTCAACGACACGTGAAACTGTTGGATAACCCCCCCCAAAAAAAAATATACCTACGGAACATTGTCACCTGCAGGATTATATCCCCGGTGGCAATGCCCGTTTTACTTCTCACTGCAGTAACTTCCTCCACCTGCCCGTATTCTGTGAAAAAAGTTCCCACAAGGTCCTCCCCTATATCCATGGGCACACCATGGTAAGTGATTCGGGTGCCCATGTACTCAGTTTGCATTCTCACTGACTTTGTGGTGAGGATGCATCACGCTAATGTTTTACCCTCCTCTTCCGATGCCCACAAGATGTCCCACATTGCAGTTGACCTTCTTGCCAACATCTTCACTGCTATGTTCAGGCACCCGAGTGCTTCTCCATTTCCTTCCAGGCCGACGGAATGGTAAACAGTTAATTTCCTGAAATGTACTCCTGGAACTTTTCCCATGCTGCTATGTAATATTCAGACTCATGCTGAGGTATGGGGACTTGCTGGTGGAACCAGCTGCTGAGACGCCTCGACCATTTTTGCCAGGGCCACACACAAAAAACAATCACATGTACTAACAAAGCAGTACAAAAATTAGGCAAAATAAAACAACAACGTACAAACAAAGCTTTTAAAATAAAGTTTTGCTTAAGGAAGAAAGACAAACAAAACAACACAGAAAATAAAATACAAATTAAAAAACAAATACAAAAGAAGAATTAAACTAAATAACAAATGGGATTACCGAAAAGAATGAGGAAAAAAGAAAATTAAAAAAAATGTAGCAAAGTCCACGTAAAAGAAAACAAGAATGAGAAACACCTACACTGGAGGTGCACACACTCTTTCACAATGATAGTACTTGCTTATCCGAGCCAAAACCCGACCCGCCTCGTTAAAAGGCAGTTTGGACGAGGTAGAAAAATAAAAGACTTCCAACTGGATATCAATCCAAAATAGAAACATGTCAGTCGCAAGTGTTGCCATGAATGCATCTCGGATATGCTAATATTGTGTGTACTCACCCACCTGTCGACGAACGAAAAAACTGTTCCGTCAATAAAAGCTGTTGGCATTCTCGAATTGAGAAAAAGTCATTTATTTTTCTATCTCGTCTGTCGGCTTGCGTGTTGGATTTCTGACCTTTTAAGTATATTGAGATTTGTCACAGTGGACCTGCAATTCGTGATTTCGACATTTCTTTCTGCCACTTGATGTCCGAGATTGGACTTGCGATTTGTTTATTTCCTTGTGGAATTGAGCTCCCATATCAATTTTTGAACAGGATGTTTTGAGGACATGGCGGATGGCAAATTCGATCTAAAAATTAATTCCTGAATTTGACGACAGTGGGTCAGTAGTAGAATGGTTTGAGAAAGTTGAACTGGTATGCAAAATCTGTGGCGTGAAGCGGCTCGAAACCATCATTTTCCTTCGACTGCCTGAAGGAGCATTTGCAGTGTATCAGCAATTGACCAAGGAAGAGAGACTGTATGCAGCATGAATTAAGGACGCGCTATACAGCGCTTGTGCAGCGGACTCTCTGCATACAAGCAGTTCGAAGCTCGGAAACTGCGCCCAGGTGAAATGCAGACGTTTACTACGCTGATTTAAGAAAGTTGGTGGTACTGTTCGGAGGAATGCTCTACTGCGCGATGGCGTGCGCGTTTGTGCGTGGACTCCTTGCCTGTATGACGACATTCGGTTGGCCTCTAGGATGGAGTTGCTGCCACTTGAGGAGTTACTGACCCAGGCTGGAGCGCTTATGAAGGAAGAGTCGGAAGAGAAATTGGTGATAGCAGCTAGAAGGCCAACCCAAAGTAAACATGTTCACCCAACGGTAGGCCCTTCTGCGACTATTAAGGGCTACAGATGTAATGGCCCAAACCACCTGACAAGGGAGTGCTTCCAGAAGGGACAGGCGGATCGGGCGCATTGCTGCCGGTGCTATAAGTGTCAGGCCACATGTCACGAGATTGTCCGGGAGACGGGTCAAGGGGAAAGGGCGATACGTCAGCGATAGTCTTGTCCCGCCCCCTACAGGATGTAAATGCAGCGCTACCAGTTATGATGCCTCTCCTACCTGACCGCGACAGTGTCAGTCTATTCGAATTGCTCCTCGGAATGGATGTCATTGAGAGGTTGGGCGGTGTTCACATGACAAAAATGGGTCAAGTTTGTTATCTCCATATTTGTGTAGCCATGACTGTAAATCATCCCGACTTTACACCGGAATTCGACCAATATACCAGGACCTGGACAGCATCATGGAAATGATCGTATGGTGACCCAACGGAATATGTATTACAAAAAACAGTATGGGTCGATGCGAGCTCCCTTGCAACTGGAGTGTACCTAGAGTTAAATGGGGACGTAGTGGAGTATTCCTGCTGGTTGCGTCCTGAAAAGGACGTTCAGCATATAAACGTAACTGAGTTCATAGGGGTATCAACGTAGCACTTTAATGGAAGGCAAAAAAGTTGCACTTATTCACGGACATGATTCATATGTTCATGGATGAACCGTTTACGTGGAATTGGGATTTGTGACATTGGACCTGCGTTTCGTGATTTTGACATTTCTTTCTGTCCCTGGATCTTCAAGTTTGGAATTGCAATTTGTTTATTTCCTTGTGGAAGTGAGCTGCCAAATCAATTTTTTAACACGTTCCATGAACTTTCACTAACATTCTGTGAATGCATGCAGCAATTTATCTTTCCCAAAACAAAAATTCTATGACAGCTTTTTGCTTTCTACAAGTTTTCAGGGCGGGCACACATTATAAAAGCATATCATAACGAGTAAAAGACAAAGTAATCCCGCAAAACAAGGCACTTTAACATATATAACGATCATTTTTCTCGCGTCCATTTCTACAAACGTTTCAATTACAACTGCTATAAAAAAAAGTTATTTACAGAAATCAACTTTCACTTTTAAATAAGAAAAAAAAAACTTTGAAACAAAAAATTACGGGTTTAAATTTTATCAAATTATTAGAAGTTTATTATTCTTTGAATTGTTTTACGAATCTATACTGAACTTGTTTCTTTCAAGAAAACACTTCACTTTCCTTAATAGGATTACCGTGGTTACTAGAAACCTCCCTTGAAAATCAGCATTACAAATCATTGTTGAACGAGGGGGTGTGGGGCAGTATGAATTTTCTTCTTTTTATTTCTAACACAGGACATTTCGCATCTAAAGGTGGGCTCAGAATGTGAGGCTGGATAAAGAGTGTTTAACAAAATATCCCCCCACTCCTGTATGCTTTTACTGAAAGTTTAACATTTGAATAGAGAGGAAAAGCAGATTATATCGATTATTGAACACCTCACCTTAGAGCAAGCATTAGGTAGCTGTGAACATTGTATGCCTTTTTATGTTCCCAATGAAATACACACCAAGCATTAATGGGAAACAGAAAATAGAAATTTATTTTGTGCTATAAAAAGCACTTACAGTATTTAGTACTAAATACAGTATTGTTGTAGATCAGTTCACTAATGTAAGGAGTTCAATCCTCATTGGGTATCCCACACTTATGGCTTCGTGTTAAATAAAGCTAAGTAAATTCTTATATTATTTTAGTAGTTCCAAAATCATAGCTGCATTTTATTTTTAAGAAAAGATCTCACAAGAGGTTTATAGTCTTGATAGATTTTCAAAATAATTTGGAATATATTCCAGGAAATTTAACTTTTCATCTTCAGTTTCTTGATAGAATTTCAGATAATTGGGTTCTACCAATTCAGTGGATAACATCTTCAGGTTATTCTGACCTTTTGTGTCTTGTAATTATAAGTATTTTTAAGACTTTCTTTTGCTATTCATATTCACTTCTTTGTTCAAGAGTCATCAGTATTCAATTTGAGTGACTGCATAATAAATGTCAACAATTTGACATAATTTTTGCATCTATTTTCAGGAGATTTCTTTGTTTATCTCTGTGCCTGACTAAGAATATAATGCATAAGAATTAGTAAGCATTAGTGGCACCAAAGAGAGAGAATTACCAGACTTTGGAGATTCATATTTTTTTTAGGGGGAATCCTTTCCTTTACAATAATCTAATGTATGATTTTTCATTAATCAAAAGGTGACCATCTTTGTCTCAAACTCAAGTTGACTTTTGCTGAGCGAGTATTCTATTGTCACCAGCAGAAATAATAAAGCACCCGCCCAGAACAAATGAAAATATAAAATATAATTTGGCATCACTTTTTAAACACCACAAATGCTAGGAATATTTGCTTGACAAAGATGTAATTGTCAGTTAACAAAAGATGAAACGTCACTCTTAGAATTTATGGAGAGTAGCTGTTATTGCACAAAATCTAATGCTTACAAATTTGAGGTGGGAGAAATATTATTTAGATAGTGTCTTCTATATATTTAAAGAGCAGCTATCCAAATTTAAATCTATCCAATAGCATCTTTCCAAATTCTCCACAAAGTTAGCCATAAGTACTTTTTTTTTTTTTTTTTTTTTTTTAAATAGAGTTCAGGGTGAATGTCCATACAGATAGCCTCGTTGTCATTGCTGATACTGTTGTTACTTTTACTATCAAACATAAAAAAAAGAATTTCATATAGTTCAGCACAATTAAAAACTTATGTGTATGCTCATTGCAAATAAAGTAAAGGAAGAGAATATGGGAGAGAGAGAGAAGGAGAAAGAAAGAGAATGAGATTGAAAGAGAATGGAAGGAGATAAATGGAAAGGAAACGAATTAAGGGTAAAACAGAATGAGTGAAAGGGAGAGAAGGAGAAATGAATGAGAGAGAGAGGAGGAGAAGAAATGTGAAAAAGTGATTAGAGAGAAGGGGAATGAGAGAGATAAGGGGAAGGGAATGAGAGAAAGTGAGAAGGAAACAGAAGGAAGTAAGAGAGGAAACAGAAAGAAAGAGAAGGGGAAGGAAGGAAAGAGAAGGGGAAGGAAGGAGAGAGAAAGAGAAAAGAGGGAAGGACAAAGAGGAGAGAGAGAAAGAAGGAGAATGAGGAGAGAGAGAGAATGAGAAGGGGGGAGAGAAGGGGGGGAGAGAAGGGGAAGGGGGGAGAAAGAAAGGGAGAAAGGAAGGGGGGTGCAAGAAAGGGAGTGAAATAGGGAAAGGAGGGGAATGCAAGAGAGAGAGAGAGAAAGAATAGAGGAAAGGAATGAAAGAGAGAGAAAATGAAAGGAAGGGAATGATGAAAGGATAGGAACAGATGAAACGAACAAAGAATTGAAGGAAAAATAAGAAAAAAAGGAGAAAGAAAATGGATACAAACTCCATTTGATTTTGTACATTCTTTATTCTTACTGAAAATATTTTTCTACAGAAACTTGTTCCAGTAACTTCCTGCAGCCACAACGTCACAATGTCCTGGGAGGAGTAGGAGGAGGATAAGGCTGGGGTGGGGGGGGTCAGCTGATGTCAACAGCAATATTGCATAGCCCAACCCCACTTCCATTGCCTAGACTAACTCAGCAGCTAGGGGAAGGGATGGTGGGGGTTTGCTGCCCTACCCTGTCATCTGTCCCAAGAAAAGTCCACTAACAAAACCTGGAAACCTGGAAGGAAAGCAGTTGGAATAAAGAGATAGAGACCTGCTCCAAAGAGGCAGTAAGAAAAAGTTGGAAATGTCACAGTGGAGAAAAGAAATCAAATATCTTCAGGTGCAGAAGGAAGAGGTGAGGAAAAAAAAAAAAAAAAAAAAAAAAAAAAGAAATGGGTTTGCAGAGAGGTTGGGTAAGGTCCTAAAAGCAAGTCATTCTGCTATCTTTTTATTTTTGTGGGGGAGGGGGTCACCATTGCATCAAACTCTCTCATCTAATACAGAATCAATATCCTATGAATGGGTTAAATTTTGGAATTAGGCTGAAGGTCATTTGCATTCTGTTGATTTGGGCTAATTTCATCAGATTCTATTAGAGTTTTTAAGACAAAAGAAAGCAGAATTCAGTAACAACTACACACAAGGAAATGAAATAATTCTTAGCACTGAGAATTACGTAAAATACCAAAATAAATAAAAAATATAAAATCTATTTAGGTGAAATCAAAAAGCTTGGATTAAATTATTTCATTAAAATGTCAAATTTTCAAAACTTGAATATGGAAACAATGTAGTGTGTGTGTGTGTGTGTGTGTGTGTGTGTGTGTTAAAATGATCATTTGCTGATTTGGGCTTGAAAACAGCAGAATAAGCAAATATTTTGAATGAATAGCCAAATTTATACAATAAGAACAAAACAGGCCAGGTTTTGTTTTTAACTTAGAGCACAAGGGTCCTGAAACCAAGTTCAAAATTTCAAAAAAATTCTAAACTGATTTAATTTCAACAAAAGCTGTTTATTCTTACCATTTTTTTCTTCATTTATAATTCATAATTTTCTTGAAAATTATGTGGATTGCTTCTTATAGATTGCAATCATAATTTGTATAGTATCTATAATATGAAACATTAATGTGGAAAAAAATCTTCAATATTTAATGTCCATCTAAAATCACTATGTGAGAAGTAATCAATTTTAAGGGAACATTTTAATCTGGATTTTACTAGAAATTTGTTGCATTTAACTGAGGGTAGAGTATCAACCATAAAATTAAAACTAATGAATGAAATTGTAATTCCTCATTGAGGTTCAACACTTTACATCTTCTCAACAATGTCTATCTATTTTCTGAGTTACAACAAAGCAAGTGAAAACAGATCAACAAAGATAATTATTGTGTCCACCCCCCACCCCCCGACCAATGACAAAAGAAGCAGAATTAAAAAATAATATTTGGAAAACAAGATGACACATTCACACAACTGAACCTAATTAGAAAGCAGTAGATGCCAGAATACAAGAGAAATAATTCTAAAAAGACAAATTCATTCTTTTTTCACAACCTCATACGAAATTAATATTTTTCATGTTCTTATAATTGCTGAAAAATTCATCTAATGATACCCATCACAGGAGGACGGGTTAATCTGGTTTAATTATCTCTAAGGAGTTTGGCCCTCAAAGAGTGATCAATGAATTTGAGCTTGTACCAAGCTTATTTAGCTGTGTGCTCTTACCTGATGAACACTGGAGATTTGTTGGTCAAAAGCAAATTTCAATCTCTTAATTAAGAGAAGGTCTAAATAAGAACTTAAGTGGAAATTTTTAACTTTTTGTAAAAGTCAAGCCTGAAATCTATCAACACACAGTGGAGAAGGAAAAGAACAAAAATTGAAAAATACAGAAAACAATTTGTGTGAAAATGAGACTTCAGACAACTAGCACCAATTAGTATGTTTTGTTTTTTTTTAATTTGTTAATTTAGACAAGAATTTTATTAATTTTTTTTTAAAAGTTCAATAGTTGTAATCACAGTTGGTCAACTAAAGATCCAGGTTAGAATAAAAGATGTCTCCGAACAAATATTCATAAAATATCTGAGATTATTTTCCTCATTTTTATTGTCATTATTCCACAATGAAGTGTGAATATTTGAAATTTCAGAAACAAACCTGGGGAAAATGAACTGAAATTTTATAAAATTCCTCCAAAGAAAATTATATATTTTTTACTTGAATTATTTTTCTGATCTTAATAGAAGTAAATAGAAGTAAAAAAAAAAAAAAATGACAAAGACAATTTGGCATTCTTTCAAGAAAATTCTATTGACTCTGGATGAAAGGATGAGATTTCCAAGTGAATAAAAAGAAAATAACTAAAAGTTTTTTTTCTGACAATTCTCAAAAATTAACATTTCAATTTGTAAGAGAAGTGAGTGATGTATTTGGTAGAGCAAAGATGGAGAAGAACAAAGAAAATTCTTAAGTGACAATTGAATATTTTATAATTAAGAAAACAAAATTTCAAGATCAGAATACTAAAAAAATATCTTTGCTTGTTTTTTTATGGAAATATTTATCAGATATTTTCCTTCATTATGCACAATTTTCTATTCCATTCATTTAACCGAGAAAAATTTTAAATACCATGAACAAAATTGTTTTTAAATTACATTTTTTAAAAGAAAATTATTAATTCTTAAGAAGTAATAAAATTTTACAGTTAAAATAAATATGTAGATGTCACATACCAAATTAATCTTTTTGCATCTGGCATTTATATAAAGATCCAGATCACACCAATTTCTGTGAAAAAGCACTTATTTCAAATGAATCTCTAGAAAGCAAGAGAAAATGAGTTCTTCACAATTTTTTTGATAAAGACTTTAAAAAAATTACAGGAGAAAACTTCCTGTTTTTAAATTATTAGAAAAACATTTTACAAGAATAAAGGCTTTCCAGATTGTATAGGAAAAAGGAAAACACACCAGTTTATAACAACATCTAATCCTGCTGCTGTTGCTAGCTTTAAGTATATTCCTGTATCTCTTGAGTAAAAACTGTTAGCTATTTTGTATAATCAAAGGGTATTCAATAATGCCAAAACTGGTTTTAAAACAGCATTGGGAAAAAAAAATTAAAAAATAGTGGCTATGCTGTTAGCTTACAATTTAACAATGTGCATGTGAAGAGAAATCCCATAAAAAGACATTGTTTATAAATATAAATACAATTAGTATAAATGCTTGTCCAATAGAAGAGATGGGGGGGGTGCTAGAAGAACCACACTAAATGCATGTCAGAGTAGAAAGATAAAGGCATAAATTTGGAGGTGAGGCAGGATTGTAAATGAATACTGTGCCTGAAGTAGAACTTGTTGCTTCCTAGAGTTTAAAATTAGAAAATAGACATTTTAAGAAGGAGACTATATTTTACTGTCAAAATGTTGACATAAGTACCATTTATGGTATTATCGACAGATTGACAACTGGTCAATTAATAACATACATTTGTATCAGAGTTACAATTTGCCTGAAAAGTATGTGTGGGAACAACATATTGTCAATAACACCTGAAGAAGACTACTTCTTGTGTTAAACTTTTAGTCCCAATTTTATTATTTTTTGTGTTCTTACTTTTGACTAACTAGTAGCTTTGCACATTAAGCATCATTTCTTTTACTTCTATCCAAAAAATATTTAGCTTAATTGATCTATTTAATATTGCACCATTATATATATATATATATATATATATATATATATATATATATATATATATTTCAATAGGAGTAGATATGTTTGCCTATCATCTTGTTTACACACTTCCCGTCTTTTTGAACAGGAGTAGAGTTTTATCTTATTTCCTGTTTGATATTGGTTTCTGTCTCAATCAAAGTCTTTTTTTTTTTTTTTTCATCACTCACTTTATCACTGCCAGTAGCCCCTTGCATCTTAGTGGCATTATTACCTTGCTTGGGGTGAACTAATTAAATATATATATATATATATATATATATATATATATATATATATATATATATATATATATATAGTCTGTTAGCCAGTCTAATATTAAATCATTTTTCAATTTCTTTCATACCTACATTTTGTAAGTGTACTTGGACTATCTGACTATTATATATAATTTTATTATTAGATATAATAATGTTCAATTCTTATCAAAGGTTGACTCAGAGTTTCATAATTTTCAATCATTCATTGATACTTTTGACAAGAATATATTTGTATTGTCTTAGTGAAATTCAATTTGGAGATAGAGAAAATAAATGTTTCTTTGCAAATATTAATTGAACAATGGAAGATTGTGCAGCACACAATGGTTAAAGTAAGCAGATCAGTTTGAAGATTTCAGTTCTATTGTCGCTGCAAACATGGTTTTACAAAATGTTTTGGACCCTAACCCAGCAACAAACAATGGTCAACTGCACTGTTTGTGCTTAACTAGGAAGATAAAGAAATATCAGAGTAAATCTAATATGAAACGAATATCCCAAGATTATAAACCATCACAGACATTGTACATGACAAAGAACTAACATGAAGTAGGCTTGATCTGAGATAGTTACAAACAAGACTGACAATGAAAAAGCAGAATTAATAACATGGAAAATATCTCTAGATTAAGACAAATCACAGCCAAGATTTTTGAATTTTTAAAATTGAAAACTAAAAAAGGTTAGTGTGAGTTCTGTAAAGCCACACTAAAGAAGGAATTGTAAAAATAAAAAATGCAGCACCAACTTTCTAAATCAGTTAAACACAATAAGAAAGAATAGTCCAAAGCCTTGCGGCACACAACTTAGAATTCTGCTTTCATTTTCTAAAGACAGACAAGGATTAAAAAAGGGGGGGCTTATTTTTTTAGTGGGCAGGGAGTTGCATGCATGTTCAAAAATGGTTACAAAAGATTTAAATAGACTATAACAGAAACAACAACAACAACAAAATCTAGAGAATAACAAATGCAGCAATCATGGTCGATTATTACTTTTTGACCAAGAATTCACACTGTATGGTTTGGTTTTCACAAAGATTTCAGGAATGAAAGAAAGAAAAAAATGAAACTGGTCAAAAAGTTTTCAAGAAAATTTTAGAGCTATTTATAATACATTCTTTCCTATTAAACTAAGAGTAGAATTTACAAAAGGTCCCACTTAATTCCTCACAGTATCTGTTTGTTTCTTCTTCTTCTTTTTTTTTTTTTGTTTGTTTGTTTGTATTTTGAACCATAACAAGTTGCCATTCTGGTACATTTTCAAGAAGTGCATGATGGGGAGGACCATGTTTTACATCAGCAATGGCTGCCTTGATCAATGAAAAAGAAACAGGAACATTGCAATCATTATAAATCAAAGAGGTACAAAAGAATCAGGACAGGGAATTAACAACAACATTTCTTCTGTGCCATGTCCTCTGAGGGTGCCCCAGTTCAAAAAGTTTGTGACATTTCTAGAATTTATTTACAGCAGGAACAAGAGGTGTTGGGTGGAGTGGAAATAAAGCAGGATAAACAAAAAAAACGGAAGAATGATGATGATTATGGAGACTGGCATTAATGGCCATAAAATTGTTAAACATAAATAAATTTGTCATCTTTGTTTTTTGAAAATCTTGAGTGGAAAGTCTTTTTAAACAATCAGAATAAGACAAAAATAAAAAAACGAATATAGCTGACATCAACTGAAAACAAATTTCCAATCAGCATAAAAACACAAGAGAAATAGTAACCAGGGAACCAATTTCAAGTTTCAACATAGAAGTTATTGACAAGGCTAAATATTAATAACTATTAAAGAGATTGTAATTTTTACAAGTAGAAAAGTCAACTGATTACAGATGGCATGGGACTTGAAAGATTTGCTCAACACCAACCTGGTTCTTTCAACAATATAACTGTTTATACTAACAAGAATGGTCAGCAACACTATGGAATTGCTTTGTCTAAAGAATGGAGAGATTAAAATGTCAATTCTTTTTCCGTAAGAAATGAAACCAAATAAAATCAGTGCAAAAGACAAATGGAAAAATTAGTGCTGAAATGAATGGATTGTAAAAAGCCAGATTCTTATAGAATCAAGTTATGGTTTCATCTCCAAAAAGAGGAAGTCTATGGAGGGGACATTATATAGCAAGTATGAGTAAAGAAAATAACTTTTTGTGTTTTTAATTTAACATTCAGTATTTTAAAATTTGAAAACAACTTGAAAAACATTTGTTTTAGGAAATATATCTATGCAGATGAAGGAAACAAAACATTTGGAAATTATCATTATAATAATAATAACATTTGTAGCTTCTAATAATAAAAAGAAACTATATTTGTAATAATAAGCAACTTTTATAGTTTTGTACAATAATTCAACAAAGTAATTCTTAACAATTACTGCTTTTTGTTCTTTAACCCTTGAAAAATTTTAAATGAATTGCAAAACTGTTGGAGTAAAAATTATTTTGATATATTTTGTATATAAGGTAAGTGCATAAAAAAAGTGATTTATCTTTTTAAATGTTTTTTTTTTTGGTCAGATGTAGACAAATGTTTGTCTGCTTTCTTCAAGCAAACTACCTTCACAGTTGAAAAGTTGATCTCAAGTGAATAGTGAGAAGGAAGAGAATTTCCTTGGTCTGTTCCAATCTCTTAGAAGTTTGTAATTTGACACAAAATGGATAAAAGGCCTAGACATTTCACTTAAGTGCCATTCTGATGAAGATGAAACTGTGAAAAAGAAAAACAGGTACTCATTGGTAGTAGTGGTGACAACGGTGGTGGGAATGATTGGTTGTTTTAATTTCATTTCTATAGTGTCAACACATTTAACCAAATGACAAACAGAAGAGGGGAGAAGAGGAAAAGAATTCTTCTCTTTCGTTGTTGTTGTTGTTGTTGTTATCCTTAATGTGCAGAAGGAAAATGTGGTGGTGAGAGCATAGGTGAAGAGGCAGAAGAGATACTGAATGAAAAAGGTTGAAGAGAAAAACAGAGAGAGAGAGGGAGGGAGAGAAGCAGTAAAAGTATAATTACCAAAAAGTAGCGAAGCAATTTTTGCAAATAAGGAGGAAATGATTGAACCGAAAGTAGAATTGCATAGTGAAAAATATAAATGAAGGGATTTAGAAGAGGAGGAAGATAGAAAGAAAACTGATCAAATTGGTTATTCTTGGATTCAAAATCTTTAAAAAATATTAAAAAAAAAAAAAAAAAAAAAAAAAATCAAAAAAAGGCCTAGGTAGATACATAATTAAGAAACAAAGATTGTCCATTTTTTTTATCTCTTTTTTTACATATGTTACTTTGTATTGTTTCAATCAAAGAGACATCATCATCAACAGCAAGGACAGGGAGGGTTGTTAGGGATTAACAGCAATATGATAAAGAGAAAAAGAAAAACATTAATGATAACAAAGCTAACACCAATAATAATAATAAAAAAAAAAATCCCCCCCACTCAGGTACCAAGTTTTAACAAGCTGGGTATTAACAATGTGTTGTTGTTGTTGTTGTTTTTAGCTGGGTGCATGGAATAAGGATAAGGAACTGGAGGGAGTGGGCAGCTAGCAGGGTGGTGGTTAGGAGGAGGAGGGTGGTGGTGAGAACATGGCTGCCACCAGCACAACCAAACCATTCAAAGAGAGAGAGAGAGAGAGAGAGAGGAAAGCTGCAGCAAAAAACACCAGTCATCTTCATTATTCTCTTCATCTGCTTAAGGCAGCAAAATCCAACAGGATCTATCAACAAAAAAGAAAGAAAAAAAAAACTGAAATAAGTTTTAATTAAAAGACATTAATATAACTCTTCAACTCATCAAATATTCATATTTTTTCGTTTATACCGACAAAATAAAGTCAATGTTTTTGTCACTGAAAGACAATTTTTCAAAAGATACATTCAAAGAGATACAAAAGTAACAAGTGAAGAATTTATTCCAAACACCCAACAAGAATGTTTCGATTATTCACATATTTGAGATAGCAAATGCTGACTAACCCAAAAAATGAATACCACAGTTAAATTAACTTTGCAAAATTGTCCATGTCCCAAGGGAGGCCACTCTGGACAGCAATAGTCAAAGAAAAGGATAGCTCTCATTTATCAACATAAGTTGTGCAAAAAAATAACAAATAATTATTAATTATTCTAGAAATACACTCAAATATACTCAATGTTTAACATACTGGAGTGAAAATTCACAATTAAATGTACATTATCTGGGAAAGAATTTCTCTATATAATATGCTAAGTATTAGTTGTCTGTAATGTCATTAATGTTTGTTGTGTCTTGTTATGGAAATGAAAGAGCTCAACAGAACATTCATAAAATCAGCAAGTCAAAAGAACATAGTCCTACAATGAAAAACAGATTTAAAGTGCTCCCATTTTTAACAGCCTGGCTAAATTGGTTTTCCTATAATTGTCAATAGAAAAGAATTACAATACCCTTAGAAATATGAACATGAATTTAGTCAAGGACACCAATATCTTATTCAAACTTTCATTCATTTAACCTTATGGAAATTACAACTAATCTAGTATTTCAGCCATTTTTTAAATATATAAGATGAACAACATCACAAAAGTGAAAATAATACACAATTGATTTTGAATTATCTCCCTTACATTATGATTCAGAATTTTTCAAGTGATCAATCTTTTTCCTATTTTCATTGGTGATAGTTAGCATGATAAATACAAAAAAAATCAGAAATTATTTGATAAGATTTTCGTCGAGTTGTACAAGTCTTAACTAAGGAACTATAAGTTCAATAAGTATATTCATGCAAGACAATGCTTGTTTACATTCTGCAAAGTTGAATATTGCCCACTTTGTAAAAAAAAAAATGTAAGTGGGGGTGGGTCAAAAATACCTAATTAATAAAAGTCTCTCCAAATGTTAATCCAAATGAAAGATTGTGGCCCATCATTAAGAGATGCGAATGGAAAACAAAGCAAAGAAGAGAAACTGTAGAAAACAATAAAAACTTTTGTAAGGAAAGATAAATGTTGAAACAGTAAAAAAGTTAACAAAACCAATGGAAAAGCTGATGGTAGTTCCAAATATCAAAGTGTCCATATTAACATATAGCAATAAGTTGTTCGTGTATAGGAGATATTAATCAAATGTTTCTATGGTCAAAATCTTTATGCTTTGTTTAGAAATAGAACATGTTTGCACAATAAAACTTCATATTATAACAAATTATCACCATTTTTTAATAAAGATAAATATTATTAGCTAAAATTTGAACATAGCTCATAGAAATATAAGAACATGCTGAAAATCTTTACCAGTTTCAATTTGTTAGCATTGCTTTTAATACAAAAATACTGAATTTCATAATAAAATCAGACAGTGTAGTAAAATAAACATCAATAAAAGTCACAGACTGGACCAACTTGTACTTTAGACTTTCATTTTAATAATTTCACACATCACTGGTTTTCTTTTATCCATAATAATCGCATGTTTAGATACCATGATTTAAATATACAACTATATATAATTGTTCGAGTAACAATCATTTTTATGGTCTGATATGAATTTGTAAACATGCATAAATGTTGTAAAAAAATATTTGATTACAGTTTTCAGACCCTTTTGCAGTTTTTGTCTTTCAAAATTTTGGTAATACAATATTTTAATTTAGAAACAAAGTTTGAATAAACAATGAAAAAGAAACAGTTTCAGTAATTATCATCTCAATAATTTCAGCAAATAAAAAAATACTTACAAAATCCTCAGTGGCCATCAATGACTCTGTCAGTATCTTCACTGTAAAAATAAAAACAATTGCCAATTTGAAAGTTCAAAGTATAAAAAATAAACTTTTTTTCATGTCTGGAAGAAAAAAAATGCCAATAAATTAAGAACTGAAATTGCCAAAGTTTTAATGAGAAAACAACAGTAACTTGATTTGCTAAAGTTTTCAATTTTGCAAAAACAAAAATGTTTTATTCTACTTTTATAATTTACACTAAATTGTAAAAAAAAAAATCACTAAACAAAAAGTATCAGGTGGGGAAGATCCATTTTAGGCAAAAAAATTAAATGACCAAATGATTTTTATAATAGTATGGTCACCACAGGTTGAAAAATAAAGTGGGGGGGGGATTTTGACATTCAAGTGGTCTTGAAAGAAACCATTGATTAATAGCAATACTAATAAGTAACCTTCAAAATAATAGGCAGGACAACCAGATTGCCCAAGAACGATTTTTAATTCTTGTCTCTACTACTTTGGACTCCATGTTCTCAAACCTAAAAATTATGATTGTGAAATTAGTTGTTTGGGTCAAGAATAAAATACAAAATCTGTTTCTGGCAAAAGAATCTCAAATATAAATACAACTGAATGCATGGAAGATTTTTTCTTTGATTCTTTTCAACTTTATGTCTGCATTGGTGAACTTTACAAACAGTTTCTCCTTTGAATAAAGTCCAGTACAGATAAGAGTTTGAATTCATAAAAAATTAACACTAAACTCTACACATTCCATCAGTCCATTGTTTTTGATTTAACTTTCTTCTTTGAAATCATCTGAAATCTCACCATTCTCAAGTGTAATTATTTTTTAGTTGCATAAAATTTTAAATTTTATTTTTTAAGTTTTGTGTCAAGAAAAATTCCAATTTCCATTACTCATCAATTCATTCAAATATGACAAGAGAAAGAAAAAACAAAAAACAACAAACAACAACAAAAAACAACAAAGAAAACAACAAAGAAAACAACAAAGAAAACAAAAAAGAAAACAAAAAACAAAAAAGAAAACAAAAAAGAAAACAAAAAAGAAAACAAAAAACAAAAAAAGAAAACAAAAAAGAAAACAAAAAAAGAAAACAAACAAAAAAGAAAACAAAAAACAAAAAAGAAAACAAAAAAACAAAAAAGAAAACAAAAAACAAAAAAGAAAACAAAAAACAAAAAAGAAAACAAAAAACAAAAAAGAAAACAAAAAATATATAAATTAGTTTCAACTGCTACAATACATTTTAGATGAATGATATTTGAATCTATAATTCAAGACAAGTATATTGGAAGGCTTTAAGACACGCTAATGCTGTCCTATTTTTAAGACTAAAATCTCTATACAAAGTTCACATTAAAACATTTTTTTAACATTTTAAGGTACAGGAGAAAAATGAAGGAAAGATTTATTTTTTCTGTAAAATAAAGCAAACAGTTGATAAACCCTTACTACAGGACTAATTGTACATGGAAATTGTGCAATAGGAATTTTCTAATACAAGTTTATTATCATAATAATGATGATGATACTGATAAATGTTGGTATGAAACTAAATGGTTGGTCACATTAATTGCAGCTAAAATATCTCATTTACAGTTCTATTCCACAGAACTGTAAAGAGAGAAATTCCATTCATCTACAATTAATGGGTGAGTGAAAGTGTCAAACAAGAAGAAAAGGAATAGTTTTTGGTTATTGAGCATAAAACAGCAAAAAAAAAAAAAAAAAAAAAGAAGAAAGAACGAAAAGAACAGGCAGAATGCAAAAGAATAAACCTTGAAGGATTGGGTTTGGAAAGCAGCCCAAGGAAATTTTCTACAAGCATATATGGGGAAATGCTGAGTGCAATTCTTCAGGAATAACTTACAAGTTTGGTTAACAATGTTGCCAAAAGGCTGAGAATTTTAAAAGCATATGGAACAGGCAAAATAAAATTTTTACAGGGTTTGGGTAGGGTTAGTCAGAGGTTAATTCACACTTATTTTAATAATTTTAGTCAATTTCACTTGACATAAAAATAAAAATGAAATTTTTCAATTTTATTTCATATAGAGTAAATTATGTGAAATTGACAAAAGACTTGGTTTATCAAATTTGAGGAATAATTTCAACCTTAAATTACAATACATATTCTTTATGAATTTTGTAAAAATTCATTACCAAAATGAGTCTATATTTTTATATCTCCAAAAAATATTTTAATATTTACAGTCACTTGTAAAATTGGATTCCACCAATATTTAAGAAAAAAAAAAGTGCATAATATCTTAAAATACTTTTAAGGGTTAATTTGTGAACCATTATTAACAACTATACTCATCTTGATCTGTTTTCTGTTACAAAATTAGAATTCACAAATACAGTAGAGGAATTTGGCCAATAATGTCAGATGAATATTGTGTTAATGAAAAGGACTGGACAAAGTAACCAATACCATAAAACACAATATCCAGAAAGAAGAGAAGGACTACATTTTAAAATATATATTTTGATATTTTCTTACTATTTTCTAATTATTAATCAAAATCCTACAATGAACAATTGTGAAGACATTCACCAACAAAAATGAATTTAAAAAAATACACATGAATCCTTTGTTCAAACATCTTTGTTTTTATTTGAACATTTTTACAAGCTATCAAAAAATTTTCAATGGTAAACCTAACTAAAATGAATGAGATATTTGTATCTTTAGTGATATAAATAAAGATGTTATCAATGTGTAGCATAAATCAGCCTAAAATATTCTTTCATCAATGATAGAAGATAAGACGTCATGTGAGAAACTACAGGATTTTTTTTTTTTTTGTAAATTCAATAAAGAACATAGTATGGTTAAACTACACAAAGATGAAAAGATGCTAAGTTTGAAAATATATATTTATAATCATATTGGACTTAAATTAATAAAATGTTTATGAAATGCCATTTTCATTGAAGATAAAAGGAAATTGAAGAAAGGTTATTAAAAGGAAAAGAAGAGTTTCCTGCACCTTTAAGAAAAAAAAAAAAAAAGAGAATCAAGCAGCAAGAGAAATGCTTGTTCCAAGGAGAAACAAAATTTTACCTTTCTGCAGATGTTTGGTTTACTGTAAAGCCAAGCTTGAGTGGCTGGTTGATACAAAAATGAAGATTCCACTTTAATAAGCAGAACAGGTTTTATAAGTTTGTATAATATCAGATAAATAGACAGTATTGTTCCAGATAAAAATTGAAAAGTTAAAAAAAAAATGATTAAATAAACAACCCACACATTGCAGACAAAAAAACATTAAATTAAATAAAAAACCTATCTTTCAATCTATCCCTAAATTTAATCAAAATATTTATACAAAGCAAATTCATTAAAATACAAAAAAAAAAGGTGAGAGAGGGGAATTGCTAGATTAAACTGAAAGGCAACACTAATTAGAGCAGAAAAAATTGTGATTCAACAATTAGACTAAAAATAAACAAGGATTAAATTTCTTAAAATCTTGGCCAGTCTATATTTAGAAATTAAGTCAATGAAAGCAGTAAAATCCAAGACTCAGTTGGTTTTCATGAATATTCATTCAGCAGGGAACCAATTTGGTAAAATATTATGTCACTGTTTAACATTGTTTTTAAATATTTGCTGTTAAAATTTTTCAAATTACTAATTTTTTTTAACTTTGCTATTTGCTTAAACTTTTAAGAACAACTATAAATTAAATAAACATTATATGTAATATAATAGTGAATTATGTTAACATTTGTTCTATTTACATTGTTATCATCATTATTGTACTATCCATGACGTTTCGGCTATCATACAATCCGGCTTTATTCGGGTGAAATATGTTGGAATTTCGAAATGAACCTTTTATTTAGTCCACTGAGGAAGATTGTTCTAGTCCAACGTTAAGATTTGACGGATTTTTGTGTTTTACAGGAGTTACTTCCCTTGCATAATAAATTCTCTGGATTAATAGAATTTATTTAGCAAATAATATAAAGAGCATTACCTTAATCAGATCATGTTTACTTATCAATAATCAATCAAAATACTTTTAAAAGAAACTAGATTCAAATTTAATAAAAAGAAATCTTTGTATACTGAATACGCTACAAAATTAAAATCTGTTTTGTTCTGCAGGAATTACGTAAATTCTGTTAAATGTTGAGGTTTCAAAAGAATCATTTTATTTTACCATCATAAAGGTCTATAAAAAAAAATTTATACAATAAAATATTTTTATTGTAAATTTTCTATAAAAAAGAGTAAGGGAATGATTTTCTTCTGAAAGAAAAATCTGAAATAAAAGCAGTCATTGTTTACATTTCAAAAACACTGCTTTTTTGATAAAGAAAAAAAGCATTTAAAAATATTTACCCATTTACAAAAGAGAAGTTTATCAATTGAAAATGTGCAGAGTTTAGTGTAAAAAGAAAGAGGCTATATTTTTCAAGAAAAGTTTAACAATTGATTTGTTTTAAATTTTGCATACCTCTTTTTGCCAATCCAGTTCTTCAAATATTCTTTCAAAACTATCATACATATATACAAACTGAAACAAAAAAAAAAATTCATGGAACCAAAATTTCAGTTATATAAACCTACATATTTTAATACAAATAAAAAATGTTTGAAACATTAATTTTCCAATCATAATAGACAAACAATTAACATTAATTATGATTATAGAATACCATCATCTTTTAACTGTAATAATAGTATTAAATGTCATAATTTTATCTCAAGGAGAGAAAACAAACATCAGTTGGTAAATCTTATATCTTCTTTTGGATCAAGTAATTTTCAAAATAGAAGAATCAGTTTGTCGATCATTTCTTGTTGCTATATCAGATAAATTTGAAAAAAAAAAAAAAAAAAATTTGAATTTTCATCTTTTTTATTTTTAAATAAAATACTAGTTACCTAAAATATATTTTAGAAAGTTTATTGCATCCTCTGTATTTTGGAATTACCCAAGAGTATTTTCTTTCCATCATTTATAGACTTCAAACCATTTTTAATCAAAAGTTTACAAAGTAGTTTAAAAAAATATATATATATGATTACTCACATAGGTGGAATAAATTCGAACTAGTCTTGACTTCTTGCTTGGCCGGAAATATTCAAAATTAAACGACATGGATTCATCATCTATTTCATAATTCTTTATATCGGACCATTTTATTTCTACAACCTGGGGCTATAAAAACGAACACAAAAAAATGTTAGTGATCAGCAAACTCTGAAAAATGAAGGCTTATAATCATTTTAATTTTCTGCTACTTTTTATTGAGCTTTTAAAAGTTCATCAAGTCTAAAAACTTAATAATCCTTCTTGTTTGGCTAAGTATACCTGGAAGAGTTTAACACCAAACTATTAAATGTCAAGAAACAATAAACTTCTTATTGACTCTATAAAGATTTTTAGATAATTGTACAAAGTAAAAAATAAATTTGCTACATACAGAAATTATTTTTTTTTTTAATAAATGTAAAATTTTCTTTGGTAATTTTGGTGCAGAGAAAAACATTCTTTTCTCTCAATGCATCAGAAGATAAAAAGACAATTTTTAAAAATTTAATTCTTTTGTCATATTATTTTGCAAAACTTGTTCAAGTTTTGCATTGGATCAAAAATGTTTGTTTCAATCATCATAGAAACATAATAAATAAAATAAAAATACTGTCTCACTTCAATGGATCCATCTTCTTTGCAGGCTTGCAGGCGGAAGGCACGGATCCCTACACTTGCCATCACATGACCATCCTTGCGGGAGTCGCACGCACAGTGTGGGAAGACAATTTCACCATAAGCTTCCAATCGTCGAGCCAATTTCAAATACTGAAGCCAAACAATGATTTTGTCAGCAATATTATCAAACAAAAATCAGGAGGATTATATGTGTTTTTAGGTCGATTACATGTCATGGTTTAATATGATCTTCAAATGCAACAAGCACCAAAAGGTAGAGGAAAATATAAATTCATATAAAATGTTACAACAGCAAAGATGAAGATACTAATTTCAAAAATGCATTTTCTAATGAAAATATGTAACGTTATAATTTCTTAGAAATGAAATAAAAATTCATTTGTTCATAGTCTTCAAGAAGAGACTTATTTTTAGAAAACCCATATACTAGTAAGACATAAACTAACCCAAACTAAAACAAAGTTGTATAGGATAACTAAAGGGTGCTGAAATGATATCAGACTGACCAATTTCCAAAAATTTTGAACAAATGACCAAACATAATTTGATTTTGTTTTTGAGTCAGATGGGATTCCTGGTTGAGCTGAGAACCTTTCAGCATCCTAAGCTTCATATAAGCCTAGTATAGTTTTGAAATTCCATAAAAAGGTGAGTCACTAGTTGTATGTTAGAGTTTAGATATAAATGATCTCACCTCATTAGTCTTGCCTGATTCCTGCAGAGCCTTCAGTTCATACAGTCTGTCTCCAGGTTTTATCAAACTTCGACTCACATCATCCACAGCCTTGAAAAGAAAAAATACTATAAATTGAATGGGAATCTTGTTTAAAGTAATTAGCAAGAAGCTTTGATAAAGTGGACACATCATTAAACCTACAATAGGAGAAAATCTGAGAGTTAATGGAAGATATTAACTGAGCAGTAAATATAATGGTGAGGTCAGTGTTGACTTCAAAGAAGATTAGTTTTATTTATTTTTCGGGGGGGGGGGAAAAAGTTCAAATTTCAAAGGATTCTCCGTATTTTAAATTAAAACTGATTACAAACCTCCATAACTATCACCCTATGTTGGCTGTAGATTTGCTGAAAAGAACTTCAATTTCAAGAACAATATTAAATGTAAATGACCAATTTCCACATAGCTAAGTCATATTTTCTGATATACTTATACAAAGAAAATTTACAAAAAAAAAAAAATTCTGCAAGTTATTGAAGAGAGACTTTTAAAAATTCTAAGTGTAAAGGAACCAAGTTATTTAAAAGAAAAAAAAATGACACTATGCTCATCTTGGTCGTTATACTCACAACTAATGTACTCTCTCACCTTCAGGTATCCGTCTTTGGTAACTGTTCTGTTATCAGGGTACAGCACCTCCATTATTTTATTTTCCTCTTGTTCTTCCCCTTTTTAATTTACATACATTGTCACAGTTTTGGCCCCTTTGGGGGCTTTAGCAAAGGGAGAAAACCTGCTAAGAGCCTCACAAGATAAAGTTGTGGAGAGCCATGGTCACGTATGTCTTGAAGGGATACAGCACATAGTCAGTTTTACTAAACTGATTCTCTTATAGATTTTTGTTTTTAATGCTCATCAAAGGCATGAAGCTTATTCGATGAAATCCTATGAAACCGTTACATATTCTACAATTCCATTTTCAACTTTATTCGGATAAAAATTCTTATCAAAATTCCCAAACAAATCTTTGGTGCTCATTGCCTTATAAGAAAAAAAAATAAAATAAAAATAAACCTACATCCAAAAGAGCCTTTTCTCCTATGACAAGGACTGAAAAATAAAAAGTAAACACTGATTCTACATAGGAATTTTTCTAAAATAATAACCACAATGGATATTAGTGATAGAATATTTTCTGCTCAAAAGCAAAGAAGACTAATTATTCAGATTATGTTTTCATCAATAGAAATTACGATTTCTGGATATGTGTATAAGGTGGGAGTAGCATTGAGGCAGAAAGTACTTTACCTGTCAATATAACAATGTCATTCAATGAAAAGGTTAATATCAGAAATTACTTACCTGCCAATATAGCAAGTTGTTAACATATTCACTGAAACTGAGCTGCAATTCAAGGGCCAATGAAAAAACCCACTTTCTCAATGCTATACAAGTGGCTGTGGCTGTACTGTAATTCTGAATATAAATATTGTGGGGCAATTCTTGAGGTTGTAATTTTCTTTCTACAACACAAAACACACAGACATATCAAAAAAGTAGAGTAAGAAAAAGAAAAAAAAACAATCATTCATCTAAAGTTGCTATTATAAAGTGATTCTTTCAGACCAGTTTCCTTTTGGGGATATTCAACAGACAAAACTTATTTGATCAACTAGTTCAGTATCCTAGGAAGCTTACCAAATCAGATATCTGTGGAAAAGACAGAAAAGCTTACAGCAACTGAAAAGGCATTGAAGAAACTGGCCTAAAAGAATGATTAACAATACTAAATCTTAAAAACTCAGACAAAAAATCCAACAGTTTGTCTTCTTACAAACATCATTTGATCAAATTCGCCCCTTTTATAAGGTAGACTATGACCAAAATTAGCCCACCATGGTACTTCATACACTCTGAAGACTATATGGAATATTCACTTATTCTGAAATATTTTTATATTGTCCTTTCTTTTAATATCATAATTCTTTATTTTTTTTATTTAAAGATCTTTTGCTTATGTATATCATTAAGAACCTCTCATCAGATTGACAATTCAAAGATACCAATCTGTAATCCAATGATGTTTAAAGGTAAATACGGAAAGAAAATTAACTTTTACAAATGTCTATTTGAAATTCTTTTGGCCAACATTTATGTGAGAGAAGAAATTTTTAAAGACAAAGAATGCTTAAATTTGTATATAAGTTGGTCTTAACTAATCCACGTTTAAATTCAATTTTGACAACAGGAAGCACAAATTTTGAATCAGAATTTAACCAAGTTTTATTTTACCTTAAAAATATATTTAAAAAATAAATAATAAATCATTCATCCCTTTGGTTTTAGGCATGTTTATTCATAACGAGAAAATTATTTAATATGGTCTAAAATAATCCAAAAACATGTAGGGTTTTTGAGTTTACTGCAACCCCAACTAAAAAAATTAAAAAATAAAATTAATTAAATAAAACAATGGCCCACTCCTAAAAAATATTTTTCATCCCCTAACAAAGAAATATTCTTGCAACTGGTTGCAAATTCCAAAATTAACTGGAGAGGATTTGCATTAGCATTCATGAGAGAATAAAAATAATAATGGTTTGGCCATCTGCATGTAAGGATAAGAATTGACTATAATGTGGATATGTCATTAAAATATAAACACTAACTTTCTAGTTGACTGTGTTGGTTTAATTACTTACCAAAGTTATAATCAACTGTTTCAAAAAGATAAAAGAATTTAGCTGATGTACTGTCCAACTGTAGTTTGTTAACAACGGCCTGAAATTGCAAAGAAACAGAGGAAAAAGATGAAAACAAAACTGACAACTGAAGAAGGCTTTACAGCTGAAAACAAACTGACATTCTAAATAATGCCAAAAATAAAAATAAAATAATTTCTATTTTCTTGGCAATAAAATCAGTAGAAAGAAAGAAAAAAGGAAAGAAAGAAAGAAAGAAAAAAGGAAAGAAAGAAAGAAAGAAAAAAGGAAAGAAAGAAAGAAAGAAAAAAGGAAAGAAAGAAAGAAAGAAAAAAGGAAAGAAAGAAAGAAAGAAAAAAGAAAAAGAAAAAAAGAAAAGAAAGAAAAAAGAAAAAGGAAAGAAGAAAAGAAAGAAAAAAGAAAAAGGAAAGAAGAAAAGAAAGAAAAAAGAAAAAGGAAAAAAGAAAGAAAAAAGAAAGAAAGAAAGAAAAAAGGAAAGAAAGAAAGAAAAAAGGAAAGAAAGAAAGAAAAAAGGAAAGAAAGAAAGAAAAAAGGAAAGAAAGAAAGAAAAAAGGAAAGAAAGAAAGAAAAAAGGAAAGAAAGAAAGAAAAAAGGAAAGAAAGAAAGAAAAAGGAAAGAAAGAAAGAAAAAGAAAGAAAAAAGAAAAAAAAAGGAAAGAAAGAAAGAAAAAAGGAAAGAAAGAAAGGAAAAAGGAAAGAAAGAAAGAAAAAGGAAAGAAAGAAAAATAGAAAAAGAAAAAAGAAAGAAAAAAAAAAGAAAAAAAAAAAAGGAAAGAAAAAAAGAAAAAAAGAAAGAAAGAAAGAAAAAAGGAAAGAAAGAAAGAAAGAAAAAAAAAAGAAAGAAAAATAAGAATTTTAAAAATCCCTCCCCCAAGTACACATACACTCTTTTCATTTACTCTAAGAAACTGCCAACCCTTTATTCATTTACAAAAAAATAAAAATAAAATTCTTTTGAATAATTATCAAACAACAATGAAGTTAACCTTTAAAAATTGGAGCATTTTGTTGTTTGGTAACAGTGAAAAAGAAAATGCACATAAATAAAAGATGAAAAAGGCATCTAACAATTATTGATTATTATCAATTATTAAAATTATTGATGAGCTTTGCACCTGAAAGTTTCTTACCTGATATACTTTGTCAGTGTTGTCAGTCCTTCGTATCGTAACAACACACAGTGAATGATCAGGCAATGAGACTTTTAATTCCACTTCACTGCATCCACCATTTTCCTAAAGAAAGAAAGAATTTGTTAGCAATTGAATATTTACAATTTCTCATGAGAGATTTCATTTTATTCATTTATGTAGAAAGAAAAATTTATACCATTTTGCAGTATGACATACACCTTTTAATTTGATACTTTAATTAATTAATCTCACCTGCTCTTGCTTTGAAAAACAAAATTGTTTTGGTTTTCTTTTCAATACTTATAGATCACATTTTTCAATTGAACAGGGTATTAAAAAATAAACCTGATCTAAGACAAAACTTCTAACAGACTCTTCTGAAAAACTAAAAACAACATTGATTACAAACTTAGTAATTTAAAGTATATATATATATATATATATATATATATATATATTATTTGTTAGAAAGTATCATAAAAGCAAGAAATTTTGGCTTTATCTTTTCCTCTGCTATACCCCAACCTCCCTCACAACTTTCTAAGTGAAGATTTAAAAGTTAAAAGCCTGCCAGTTGGAATTATACAGCCAAAGATGATAGGGAAAACACATTTGTTCTGGCAGAAATAACTGAGTGATGAAATAAACCCATAGAAAAATACAATCAGCAAATGGAAATATTTAGCCTTGATGCATTTCAGTGATTAGCTTTCTTATACAACAAGAACAGTCAAGAAACAACCAGAGAAAGAGAATATTACAAATAAAAAATTAGCAGTGTGTGTTTGTCATTATATATATATATATATATATAAAATCAGTTTGTATATTTTGAAAGAGTAATGTGTATGTATTTGTATATTTAGATGGAAAAAAGACATTCTTAAGAATCAAATAATACTTACAAGTGATAAAAAAAAGAGTTTCTACACAAGAAGCCTGTATAGATGAAAGGCTAACAATTCTAAGGGTTTATATTCAAATCTCTGGGTAGAATTGTGTGAGAGAGAGAGAGAGAAAAACTGGAATAAGTTACTGGAGAATTGATGCCATATATGTATTTTGTAAGTACACACTTAATACAAGAAAAAAAAAAAAACACTAAAGTTAGAGTCAAGTTAATACTGCAGAATTAAAGTACTTTTCAATAATTGATAACATTTGATTAAAAATAATTCGATAAAGAAACAATAAAAAGAAAAAAAATACTCAGCATAAAATGCAATAATTAAAAACAAAAAACACACAAATATAAAAAGACATGTCATTTATAGAGAAGAATGATATTTTTATTATCTGTTATCAAACAATATATTACCTTTTATATGAGACGATACCAAGTACACAGTATATTAGCTTTTCTATGAGACGATACCAAGTACACAATATATAAGCTTCTATATGAGACGATACCAAGTACACAATATAATATATAAGATACTTCTATATAAGATATGAGATTTATACCAAGTACACAATATATAAGCTTCTATATGAGACGATACCAAGTACACAATATATAAGCTTCTATATGAGACGATACCAAGTACACAATATATAAGCTTCTATATGAGACGATACCAAGTACACAATATATAAGCTTCTATATGAGACGATAGTAACCCAGTCACATGACAGGCTTATTTTGACTTCAAGAAAAAGTTTACAATTTTTTTAAAATTAAAAAAAAATGGATAAATTCATCAATTGCCATAAAATATTAAACTAACCATTCATTTAATGTCCATATTTATAAAAGACATTTTTCCTGTTCTTAAATAATTAAATGTTTCTAATACTTTTTTTGTAATGCTACTTAGTCAAATAGAGAAATTTAAATTGAAATCTGAACATCTTGGGAAAAAAAAAATTCACACATAAAAGAAATGACAACTTTGTAACATTCTAATTAAAATGAATACTTCCAAAAATGTTTTAAAAGAATTCATTATTTCAAAGTGTTAATAAAAGAATTAAAAATATTTTTAAAAAATAAAATAAAAATGGATCTGTCATCAACTCTGATTAAAATAAAATCTCACTGTTGATAAACTGTATCACTTTTGAAAGATTTTTGTAGTTTATGCATTTGTTCTCTTTCCTCTCTCCCTCCCACCGTAAGTCTCCCACTCACACACTTCTAAGTGAAGAAAGCTTTTCAAATTACATTTCATCGCAATTATTTTCCTTGGGAAGCGGTGAGGGGGATTAAAAATGGGTTAAAGGACAAAATATCAATGAGAAAGGCATTTTTTTTTTTCTTTAATCTAACAATCTCATTTCTATACAACATGCAGATATTGGTGTCTTGATAAAAATGGACACAGAAAAGATAAAACCTCAACAACTAAGTCTTGTTAGACTTGCATGGAAAAAGAAAAACTTTATGAAAATAGTTGTGCTTCTTATAGAGATTCCCCCTCCACCCCCTTTAAATGAGTGCAAAGAGTACAAGGTTATATAGAAGAGAATGAAAGCAAGAAAATAATAAAGAGAGAAATTATTAAACAATGGTTTAAAATGATACAGAGGAGAGAGGAAAAAAAATGTCAGCAGGACAGAAAGAAAGCTGCCAAGAAAAGATTGAATCAATATTTGAATAGAATGGAGCCAGCCTCGAACAATGACAATATATTCAAGCATTTATAGTCACTGAAAATCAACTCAGCTACAAGTATTGCATGTGTAAATGCCTCAGATGGCCAAATTTTTTTTTACTTTTGTTTCCACCTGCCAACACTGATATTTAGAACTATGAGCAGGTATGTTGGCTATGAGAAACAAATCTCGTTGTGTCTGCAGAAGAAATGCTATTTGTAACCTTGAATAACTCAGAATGTAAACATTGAGCCAAATAATAAGTAACATTAATTTCCCTTTACATGGCTCAATAGTTTTATTGAATTTTTTTGATATGTTAAGAGCAACATATAATGTTGTTCTCAGAATTAAGTTACACTCCAATAAGGAGCTGCAATTCCTGTGTTGACCACATGATTTCATTTGCCTGTATCAAACTCTCCACAATGAATTCAAGTCAATAGACAATTATTATTTTGGTAACTGGGAGCATAGTCATTTTGGTATTACAGTTTCACTAGAATAATAATGGCATAAAAAGAAAAGAAAACTAAGATTTGGTTTTACTAGAGCAAATTATAAGAGTGAAATTTAAAAAAAAAAAATTTTTTAGGTGGATGGAGGGGGGGGTCATTGACTGCAAAAAGAGAAGAAACTTCTGCATTATAAAAGGTCAAACATTTTTTTTGTAAATCTTTAACCAAGAAAAATTGAGAGATTTCATGTAAAAGGTAAATGCATTCAATTGAAAATCAATTCTGACTTAAAAAAAAAAAAAAAAAAAAGACCACCTGTAACGGTATCTTGAATTTTTATTAGATGACGCATTATAAACTATTATTCTTTTTTTTGGGTGGGGAGGGGGTAAACACGTATTTTTTCCTTTGCATCTACTCAGATGCTCAGTCTACAGCCTTTAGTAAACTGCTCATATTGGAAATAAGAAAAAATATCTTGTAAACATTAAAGATTTACAATTTTTTATGAGATAAAAACATTTGCAATATTGCTACCACTATTACCAGAGTATATTATAAAAGGAAAAAACACCATCAAATATGGCACTGTGCAAATGGGGATAAATGGTAAGATTTGATATTCTGCCAACTGTGAAGAAAAAAAAAAAAAAAAAAAAAGACAACAAAGGGAACAGAAAAAAAGGACAACAAAGGGAACAGAAAAAAAGGACAACAAAGGGAACAGAAAAAAAGGACAACAAAGGGAACAGAAAAAAAGGACAACAAAGGGAACAGAAAAAAAGGACAACAAAGGGTACAGAAAAAAATGACAACAAAGGGAACAGAAAAAAAGGACAACAAAGGGAACAGAAAAAAAGGACAACAAAGGGAACAGAAAAAAAGGACAACAAATCTTTTCTCACACCTGCCACCTGTGGAACTCCTTTGCATTTTCCTACTTCAATGATATCTACAATCTTCAAAAATTTAAATGCAACGCCAATTGCCATCTTTTGTCAGGAACCCTGTTTTTTTTGTTTTTTTTTTTTATTTTGTCCTTTCCTCAATCCTCACAATTTCGATCTTCTCATTCTCTTTCACTCCCTGTAACCCCCTGCGGTCTAATGGCATTATCATCTTGCTTTGGAGTGAGAGTGAAATGATTAAAAATAGAAAAAGACACCTTACTGCAATGATTATTCTTATCCATTTTTAAAAAAAGATAAAAATCATTTCAACAAAACTTAAAAATATTAAATATGACAGAACCAGCAAACCAAACACAAAACTGATATTTTTTATATGTGCTTACTGGAAAACACTCAATATCAGTGATAGAGCAAACATATTTAGTTGAATGGATATGAGTTTGTGAGCCTGGGATTCATGCTTATGTGATCCTAAGACAAACAAGAGCCAGGTAAGATCAGGAATCACACCTTGGTTTCAAATGAACTAATCTCAAATACTTTCAGATCTTCAATTTGTCAGCACCTTTAAAGAAATGTAAATGCGCGGTTGAATTAAGTGTTGAGTGCTTTATTGTTTTGTCCCAGTCACACTCTTTATTTCATCTTAAAGTACTAAAGTCACTGTATATCAAGTCTTGCAAAACGTCTCTCTATAAACAGCATGATTGTTTGCTGGGGCTTGCTAACATTAGTCTCTAGTGCTCTCCCACCCCTTTTCCTTTTTTTTTTTTTTTTTTCTTGTTCACTTCTCTATCCTCTCATCAATTATTCACTAGATTTATTGTATTTTACTCTTTTTCTCCCAATTAAAAACTTTGAAGAATTGGAGTGAAACCGGTTAGTTTTCCTCTTTCATTATTTTTTTTTTTACAATCAGTTTTTTAATTATGCCAAATAATATTGAGCTTAATGTTTTTACAGTAATACACAAGTTCTGTACCAGTAAGTGTGTGTATATATATATATATATATTGAAATGCTCAATCCTGATTATCATAAACCAAACCTGAATAAGGATTAAGAATATCCTGTCCAACCACATTCACTCTCTATACAAATACCTTGAAGTTTTTTTTTTTTGCCTCTTATATTG